TAAGGCATTAATTGATACATCATCAGTTGAAAACATTATTAGAAAAAGCTTAGTCGATAAACTTGGAATAAAATATAATAACCCACCAAAATATTTTAAAAAGAAAATGAAGGATGCCTTAGGTATCATGGAAAGCCTTAAATTATCTTTTCAATTTAAGGATAAGGATAAATTAGTATCTGGTAGTGATGAAGTTTTTAATGATTTTGTAGTCTACAAAGAACCTAAAGCTGATCTTGTATTAGGAATGCAATGGCTGTGGTTGCATGAAACAAAAATTGATCCTTATAATGAAAAAATTTCAATTTATGGTAGAGTGATACCATTCTACAAGAATCTATCTGATGATTTAGAGAGCGATATATCTAGTCTAAATATTTCTTGAGGAAATCATACATTATGCAAAACTAAAAGAAAAAAGAAAATTTTAGACATGAAGTGTCCTGCTTCGCAGAGGGGCAAAGCTCTCTTTTGCTTTGTAAAAGATGATGCTGCATTTAGGTCCTTATCTTCATCTTTATCTGGGTTTGACTCTAAATCGTCTAGCTACAATGTAATTGTGGTAAAAGCAAAAAAGCGTGATTAGTCTTTATTGTAGATTTGAAATGGTCTTGATGGTTTTATTTACTAGTTTAGCTTATATGAATATTCTAGACCCAAAGGGTCATTGCTTCGCAATAGATATGTGGAATACACACTCATTTTGATACCTTTTTGAGAGCTTAACTCTTAAAGCTCATTCTTCAGCCAACTCTGGAGATATTCCATTTGATATAAAATTTTTATATGCTTGTATATGCCAATGACCATATGGCAAACTAGTTATTTTATCAGATAATATCCAATGCTTAGTATCTATAGGGCAAAGAGCCTTCTTTTCTGATTCAACCAAAGATAATATATGGTCTTTTGATCGAATACCTACATTTTTAGCATGGAATACTTCATTACTAAAGAGACAGTCTCGATAAACTAGAGTTATAGGATCAGCCTCAGTTCGTATAGCCAAATTCTTGACTTCTTCTTCTGATAATAATGATATATCTATTGGATCATCTAGCAAGGACTCTTCTAAAGTTGGCATATATGAGTTCGTAGCCATTTCATTTATACCCTTTTGCTAACTTCCTTATGCTTAGACTTTGTAGACTTATCTGCCAAAACATAGTGATAAGACTTGGCTTGAATATGTATAGATTCTGCAATTATACTATCTGGAGTCTTATCCTTAAAAAGACCTATAGTTTTTGAGTCATCAAGATCGAAAAGATCAGGTCGCTCAGCCATATCCTTATAGATATCCTCAGTTTCAACTATAAATATGAATGAGTCTGTATCCATATATCCAAGTATAGCTTTATCACCATATCTCTCTTTTACATATCCATACCAGAAGCAATACATTAAAAGTTTGCTAAGTCCTAAAACTGATGCTCCGATAATTATAAGCTTGTTGAGAGTTATGCTAGCTTTTCCCATATGTGCTCCTACTAAAGTATTTCCAAGTTGTCTAGCATACTTAAAGGAGGGTTTATGAATTTGTTTAATAAACTTCTTTTCATCTTGCTCATTATTTATAGCCATGAGTTTGACATCTTGATATTTACGAACATTCTCCATAGTTTTGCCATATACAGAATTGTTCATAAGCTTAAAGAAGTCCTTCTCCAAAGCATTTTTAGCACCTTGTCGCTTTTCTGTATTGAATGCTATATAAGGGGCAAGCCAATTAGTCTGATCAAATGATAGGATTTCTATAACCTTATCAACAATCATACCTAATTTTATATAGTATTGAAGTTCTTGATAATAGATAACATAATCCTTTCGTGGTTCAAGATGGGGTACTAATTTTTTTGTAGCTGAAAATCGACCACCATCCATCTTTTCTACAAGCTCTGTAGTATGAAGACACAGCATATCTTTACTTACAGCCATATTCTCTACAGCTGGGGGTAAATTACTCAAATAGTCATGAGTTTTTAGAGAAAAACGTGTATTAATCTTTAGAAAATATCCTCTTTTAGCATCTGCTTTAGTATTAAGAATTTTTTCAAGATATTTTTTTTGCTCATTTGGATTATCCTCAAGATATTTACGGCTTACCTCCCATTTATAATTTTCAATAAGCAAATACTGACTCATAGTCCAGCCGTAAAGATTATTTGTATCGACATAGCTTATCCATGTTGTTGGTTTAGATGGGTTAAAGGCTTTACCTATCTTAGGATTGTTGGCTTTAAAATATCGATGATCTGCTATAGCTATACCACCACGCTTAGCATTTTCTATAAAATCATGCATAAACATATCTGTAAAGAGCTCGATTTTAACTCCCATCATTTTAAGCATAGCATCCCAAGCTAGTGCAGGTGCTGAAACATAATGGCTAGGATCAAGCTTATAATACTATATACATGTCATTCGGAATTGGATCCAAATATCTGCAAGACTAAGTACATCAATTTTAAGATAGAGGTCATGATAATCACCTAAAGTCTTGCAGTTAAATTCCTTCCAAACTTTTTGGGCATGCTCATAATCTTTTTGGCTAATTT